TACTTGTTATAAGACTATTCAAATATTCTGTCTTCATGAGTAAATTTGGAAGTTTGTATGTTTCTATGAATTTATCCAGTTCATCTGGGTTTTCTGATTTCTTGTGCAATTGTTCATCTTATTCCTTTGTATTCAATTTTCATTTCTGTAAAGCTGGTAGTACTGTCCCCTCTTTCACTTATGATTATAGTAATGGGAGTCTTCTCTCTTCAGTCATTCTAGATTATCTAAACATTTGTGAACTTTTAAAAACTTTTCATAAAACTAGCTTTCAGTTTCATTTATTTTGGGGTATTTTTCCTATTTGATATCTTTACTCTTTTCCCAGTGACTTAAGGAGGGGAGGTTAGATTTGACCTAGATATTTACTTTTAATTATAGGCACTTTAAGCTTCAAAAGTTTTCCTCTAATCATTAATTGCATGTCATAAATTTTGATATGTTGTGTTATTCACAAGATATTTTCCAGTTTCCCTTTTCATTTTTGATGTGTTATTTAAGGAGTGTTTTGTTTAAATTCCATATGTTTTTGAGTTTCCCATTTTTCTTTCTGTTATTTCTAATTTTATTATGGATAGGCAAAACTTTTTTTAAAAAAAGATTTATTGGAGAGCATGCGTGTGCAAGCAGGAGGAGGGGCAGTGGGAAAGGGAAAGAGAATCTCAGTCAGACTCTCAGCTGAGCACAGAGCCTGACGCAGGGCTCTCAGTCTCACAACCCTGAGATTATGACCTGAGCTGAAATCAAGAGTCAGCCACTTAACTGAAGCCATCCAGGTGCCCCAATAAATAAATAAATCTTAAAAAATAAAAAAGAACTTTCTATTTCTCCCCTCAATCCTGTCAATTGTTGCTTCATGGCATATGTGTTCATAGTTGTGTCTTCTTGTAGGCAGACCCTTTTATCAGCATAGGAGGTTTCTTTGTCTCCTGTAAGAATACTGACTTAAAGCCTGTTTGGTCTCATGTTATAGCCATCCAGCTCTTTGATGACTACTGGTATGCAATATACTTTTCCATCCTTCTATTTTCAACCTATTTATATATTTGGATTTGTCATCAGTTTGTTGTAATTGAATACAGTTACACCATATTTTCTACCCATTTTGCCAACTTCTGCCTTTTAGTTGAAAAGTCTAATCCATTTGCATTTAATAATGTAATAACTGAAGACTTGCTTCTACCAGTTTCTACTTGTTTTCTATATACACTGTATCTTCTTTACTTTTCTGTCCCTAGTTGGTTTCCTTTCTGTTCCATTGATTTTTTTTGTAGTTTATCATTTCACTCCTTTTTTATTTCCTGTTCATTATACCATTTAGTCATTTTCTTAGCATTTATCCTGTAGATTTCAATTAAAAATTTGTATTTATGATGAACTAGTTTGAAATAAAACCACCTTTATTCAGGGGTCCCAAGACCACTCTCAGTTTCAATGATTTGCTAGAAGGATTCACAGACATCAGAAAAGCTATTGTACTCGTTTTTTTTTCCCCAGTGACAGGATACAGATTAAAATCATTAAATGCCAGATATTCCAGGGACTAGAGGTAATCTACCAGGAGCTGGTTAAAGGCCTACACTTTGTTTGGAATGGGCAGGGCTTAAACATTTCAGACCTGCTGAGTCAAACCTTCACTGTACAGCAATTTAGCTTTAATAGTATAGAAAAATTTAGCTCCCATAACTGCTCCAATCTTCTTTTCTAATGTTGTTTTAGTCCCAGATTATATCTTTATACATTGTGTGCCCTTTAAATAGGTTTATAATTATGTTTTATGCAGGTCTTTAAAGACATTGCAAAAAAGGAGGAACAACAAACACAAAATACAGTATTATTGGATTATATATTTGCCTTTCAGTTGCCTTCACCATTGTTATTTCTTTTAGCTTTATTGAGATATTATTGACATGTAACACATTAGTTTTAGGTGTACAACATGATTTAATATATGTATATATTGCAAAATGATTACCAAAATAAATTCAGTTAACATCCATCACCCTCTGATAACTTTTAAGATTTACCACTTTAACCACTTTCAAACATACAACACAGTATCAAGTATAATTACTATGCTATACATTAACATCCTCTTGACTTACTTTATAATTGGAAATTTGTACCTTCCTTGACCACATTCATCCATTTCACCCACCCACATTCCCCCCACCCCCCGGAAACCACCACTATGTTCTATCTGTGAGGTTGTTTTGTCTTTTAAGTCTTAATTCCAGATATAAGTGAGATCATTGAGTATTTTTCTTTCTCTGATTTACTTCAGCTAGCGTAATGCCCTCGAGGTCAATTCAGGTAGTTGCAAATGGCACAATTTCCTTACCTTTTTATGGCAGAATAATATTCCATTCTGTACACACACCAAATTTTCTTTAACCATTCAACCATCAGTGAACATTTAGTTTGTTTCCATGCCTTGTGTATTTTAGATAATGCTGCCGTGAACATATGGGGTGCAGAAATCTTTCTGAAAGCTTTCATTTCCTTCAGATAAATACTCAGAGGTGGAATTGCTTAGATCATACGGTGGTTCTATTTTTAAATCTTTGAGGAACCTCCACAGTGTTTTTCATAGCTGCTGCACCATTTACATTCCCAACAGTGCAGAAGGTTTCCCTTTTCTCCACATCTCACCAACACTTGTTATTCGTTGTCTTTTTGATAACAGCCATTCTAACAGGTATAAGGCAATATCTCATTGTGGTTCTGAATTGCATTTCCGTGACGATTAATGATATGGAGCACCTTTTCATGTATTTGTTTACCATTTATATTTTTGGGGAAAATGTCTATTCAGATCCTCTGACCATTTTTTAATTGGATTATGTCTTTTTTTATACTGAGTTGTAGGAGTCCTTTATATATTTTGGATATTTAACCCCTTATAGGATTAGAGATAGAGGATTTGCACCTATTTTTAGTGGTTGATCCAGAGCTTAATGTATATATCTAATGAGAAACAGCTTTCCATATATACGAAAATCCCATGAGATAGAGAAGTGTTACTTGTCTTTTAAAAAGTATGAGAACAAAAAGGGGAACCCTCCTACACTGTTGGTGGGAATATAACTGGTGCAGCCACTCTGGAACAGTATGGAGGTTCCTCAAAAAGTTGAAAATGGAGCTACCCTATGATCCAGCAATTGCACTACTGGGTATTTACCCCAAAGATACAAAAGTAGTGATCTGAAGGGGCACCTGTACCCCAATGTTTATAGCAGCAGTATCCACAATAGCCAAACTATGGGAAGAGCCCAGATAGATGTCCATCGACAGATGAATGGATAAAGAAGATGTGGTGTATATATACACAATGGAATATTACACAGCCATCAAAAATTGGAATCTTGCCATTTGCAGTGATGTGAATGAAACTAGAGGGTTAACACCCTTATTTTGTTGAGCAAAATAAGTCAGACAATTACATGATCTCACGGATATGTGGAATTTAGGAAACAAAACAGGATCATAGGGGAAGAGAGGAAAAAATGAAACAAGATGAAACCAGAGAGGGAGACAAACCATAAGAGACTCTTAATCATAGAAACAATCTGGGGGCGCCTGGGTGGCTCAGTCATTAAGCATCTCCCTTTGGCTCAGGTCATGATCCCAGGCCCCGCATCAGCCTTCCTGCTTGCTTTTCCCTCTCCCACTCTCCCTGCTTGTGTTCCCTCTCTTGCTGTGTCTCTCTCTGTCAAATAAATAAAATCTTTAAAAAAAAAAAAGAATCTGAGGGTTGCTGGAGGGGAGGGGGTGGAAGGATGGGGTGACTGGGTGATGGACATTAAGGAGGGCATGTGATATAATGAGCACTGGGTATTATGTAAGACTGATGAATCATAGGCCTGTACTTCTGAAACCAGTAATATATGTTAATTGAATTTAAATTTTTTAAAAAAGTATGAGAACAAAAGAAAACCTGTAATATATCTATATCTTTTGTTATCTTAATCTTATAATTTCAGTAAGCTCTACACCCAGCATGGTGCTCGAACTCACAACCCCAAGATCAGAGCCACATGCTATGCCTACTGAGCCAGCCAGTTGCCCCTTATTTACTGTTTTTTATTTTTTTGATTTGATATTGTGGATTTGAAGTACCATCTATATTCATTTACTTACCAATTTGGCTTTGCTTTTACCCACCTCCTTTGTGTTATTAGCAGAAATATTACACTTTTATATGTTATAGGCCCAATAATATATTTTATACAGTTGATATTCAAAATGGTTAAGTGAAAGGGGAAAAAATACATGTACATACTGCCTGTGAAAATCAAATACTCACCTCCAGTGAGTCTTTCAGTCTTTTACCAAAACTTCGCTGTTTTTGAGAATGTCCTTAGGCTTGAACTTTCCATAGTTACGAGTGAAGTAATTTCCTTTGGAGAGGGAGATACAGGTCTCTCGTCTATGGCCTGCTTCTCCCCCTGGACAGAATCACAGAGCCACAGATCTAGTGCTTGGGACAATAGCATGCTTCACTCTGAGTTACACCTCTGCTTTTAGGAACTGAGTACTTGGTAGATTGGGGGTGGTGGGGGTACAGCAGCCAGAAGTTGCAATTTGTTCTCGGCATGATCCAAGGCAGACAACTGGAACCCCGGTATTCTTACCACTGCCACACCCAGGGCACGTATTACATTTTGTGTTTGGCTGCTAGACAGAAGAAAATCTATCCCTTAGCTGCATTTTCCTAAGCAATAGGCAGATGGGGGCAGAATGAGAAATGTTGATGTCCTGCTCCTCCCAGGAAGGTGGCCATCTATCTGGGAGCATGGATTGATGATTAGTGAGGAAGCCCTGACTGTACCAGTATGGAATATTTTTCTCACTCAGATGGGATGAACAAGGAAGGTTTTGTTCAGATACCGTAGAATTTCAGCTTGTAATCAGTTTTAGTAGATTTTCTTGAACAAATGTTTTTTTCATTTGCTATATATTTTTATATATAATTTTCACCAGTTTTGACGGAGGAGCATGTCATCGGAGTTCCTCACACTGTCATGGCAGAAATGGAATTCCCAGAGCAATTCTTTACAGTTCTAAGCATGGATCATGTAAGTTGCTGGATCTGTCTCCTTTGTGAACATTTCCTTTTTCTGAACCTTCCTACCAAATAGAGCCTGCCCCACATTCCCATAGTTTTTCACTTTCTAGTGAGAGTTGGAACCACACATAACAGTATAACTCCTGTGTGCCTATCTATTCTCCAGATCTTCTACCCGAGGCCTACCAGGTTACTATTTAGTCTACCTGCCATAATGCAATTCTTTTCTTTTTTCTCAAAAGTATTTCCTTCAATTTCATCTATATATGGTTTGTTGTTTCAGGAATTGGTGACATTCAGGGATGTGGTCATCAACTTCTCTCAAGAGGAATGGGAATATCTGGATTCAGCTCAGAGGGACTTGTATTGGGATGTGATGATGGAGAACTATAGCAACTTGGTCTCATTGGGTAAATTTATCTGCTTCATATAATTTAGAATATGCGCTATTGAATATCAGTTGCTTTTTAGTAAACCCAAGGCTATCTTTTAAGAAAGTAGGTACCTCTCCCTCAAAAAAAAGGTTTATGAAGGGGCACCTGGGTGGCTCAGTCGTTAAACGTCTGCCTTCGGCTCGGGTCATGATCCCAGAGTCCTGGGATCGAGCCCTGCGTCGGGCCCCCTCCTCCGTGGGAGGCCTGCTTCTCCCTCTCCCACTCGCCCTGCTTGTGTTCCTTCTCTCACTGTGCCTCTCTCTGTCAAATTAAAAAAAAAAAAAAAAGTTTATGAAATGCTGAGCCTCAGGTTTCATAGATGTGTTTGTACACTAAGAATTCTGCAGCAGAATATTTTTAAACATTCGCAGTTTTTGTAAGCTATATTTTTGTATATTTAATTGCTATTTTAAAATTTTAATGCATTTTGGGCTAATTCTGTTTTCAAAACAAAACATGCATGTAATTGAAGTAAACAAATGTAAATAAAAAACAGGTTTTGGAAAAAAAAAAGAAAGTAGGTACCTGTTTCCAGAGGCATGGTTGAACATGGGTTAGAGATGACACCTCCATTAAGCACATTCATCATTCTTCATGATGTATCTTCTCAGTCCCTTCATATTTCTACTTCCCTGATACCCAGGGAGTTTAATTTGAATTTTAGAAGACATAGAGCATAGGGAGCCTGGGTGGCTCAGTTGTTGGGCGTCTGCCTTCAGCTCAAGTCATGATCCCGGGGTCCTGGGATCAAGCCGCGCATCAGCCTCCCTGCTCCACGGGAGGCCTGCCTCCCCCACTTCCCCTGCTTGTGTTCCCTCTCTCGCTGTGTCTTTCTCTGTCAAATAAATAAATAAAATCTTAAAAAAAAAAAAAAATACAGCACATCCTTTGAGATAGCTCTTATATTGGGTTCTAAGTCAGAATTGCTACAAATGCTTTGCTATTTTCTATCCCACCTTCTTGAAGAGTAGCTAGGAAACTGTGTCCTGATTTGTTATGATTATTAAAAGAATGCCTAATTTATGTTAGATGGATAAACAGAATTCATGTTCATTGCCTCACATGTATTGTCTTATACCTGTTTTGTGGTTAAAAAACTTCGCATTTAACATTGTCAGTATTCCAGCAAAGGTCTTTTAATGTTTTAGAAAGCTACCTGTTTTCCTGTCAGATCATAGATCTTGGCATGTACCAGGCCCTATTCTAAGCACTTTTGATATATTGAATCTTTTAATTCTTCAGTAACCCTATGACATGAATACTTGTATTATTTTGCTAAGGCAAAAAGTATTTAGGCAACTTCTCCAGGGTTACACAGCTAATTAGTATCAAAAGGAGGTTTTCTACCCAAGTAGTGTGACACAAAAGCTGATGTTGTTAACTGGTACAATAAACTGCCTCACAAGACAAAGAGTTGGAATGGGTTTGAATAAAGATCTCTTTATATAATTCTGTGGTCACTCTAAGGTGAATGGTCTTTCAATCTCCTCACATTTCTCTTCTCTGAAATCTATCAGTATCATTTCAACTTCATTTATCAAAACTTAACCAATTCTCTTAAGTGTTCTATATAATTGTAGTTCTTTTTTTTATACCTTATGTTACATTTCTTTGTCATAAGCAGGTTCCATTTTTAAGCCATTTGTGATCACCTTATTGGAGGAAGGGAAAGTTGTTCTGGAGGGTTGTAAGGGATATGACAAGACAGAGGGCCAGGTGAGTGAGGGCTGGTAAGAGAGGGAAAGCCATCACCAGAGTAAAAAGCCCAGCTTCTCGGGGAAGAGGTGGGTCCTTGTGATGTTTTTGGGAAACTCCCTTTAAAGCCCTGTGGAAAAAAGCCCAACACTTTGGGAAGCCAGTTAAGGTCTTTCCTAGTGCAACCAACATTTTTTCCACGTTGCTTTCTATTTGGATTTATATAAATTCTCTTGACAAAAAACCATGGGCATTTATATATTTAACATTTAATCACTGTCTACACTGAGATAAATATTATGGTAGCCCTATCAGTACAATGGTGAGAAAAAATGATACAGTTCTTGCTTTATGAAATTGACTCACTAGTGAGATGTATAATAAACAGGAAAACAAATAATTAGAAAATGTATCATATAGAGTGGTAAGTGCTATAAAGAAAAGTAAAAAACAACAAAGGAATAAAGAATGAGGGAGAAAGCAAATTCACACAGTATGGTCAGAAGGATATCTCTGAGGGGCGCCTGGGTGGTTCAGTCGGTTAACCGTCCTACTCTTGATCTCACCTCACGTTTTGATCTCAGGGTTGTGAGTTCAAGCCCCGAGGGAGCCTACTTAGAAAAAGAAAAATCTCTGTGGTCTTAGCTTGTCATTCTATGAATATATTGTTCCTTAATAATTTGCCTAATGATTTTTACAATGAAAAATCTTCATTTAGATCAGTGTTTTCTTCTAAATCCCTCATTCCTTCTGCATTTATTGGTTGCCCTCATGTTCTGTTAACAGCAAGAGTGTTTATGTTCTTCCTACGATTCTAACTGATAAGCAACTTAAAATGGTGCATCTGAAATTTTCTTTCTCTTGTTTATGTCTCATTATGGTTTTTTTTTAATTGGTTTTTGATTCAGTTTACTTCAGCTCACCAGTCTTAGTTCTTGATGCCCAGTTGTATGGATATCAAGAAATTTCTTATGGTGATTTTTGTGTATCTCTGACTCAGTCCTTTAATCTTTAAATTTATTCTTGCTTTTTGAGACTTTCCCAGCCTTACCCTATACCTTCCCTATACTGGACCAGACACCTGAATTGGTGAAAAGTGTGTTCTTCTGGTCTTTTAGTTGTGTGGTTTCTGTTGTAGTTAAAAAAAAAAAATCAATACTAGGTATTAATTTTACTTATTTACTTAGCATATTTTAGTACACAAAGGTTTTTCCCCCTTTTGATTCTTGTATTGCCAAATGGTGGTCTCCCTTAGCTCCTTCAGGTGATTTGTGTGTCCAATAAGAATGATGCAACAGTTAAAGCATGTCTCCGTGCCTTCCATCCTCACACCATAGTAGTGTGTCTATATTCAGATTTCTTGCTTTCTGTCACAACAATCAAGGGCACATCTCCCTTCCCTACACCAGATCATGAGTTGGGTCTTTCTTTTAGGAGCCCTAGCTCGTTACATGTTTTACTACCACAACCTGAGCAATGGGCCTGCTTGTGATTTTTTGTTTCATGGGAGGTGAGTCTCTAACAGTTTTATCTGTCTAGCAAATTGGTCTTTTTCAATTTTTATGGCTCCTGGGATTTCTAATATTTATTTACCTAGAAAATAATTCACCCTTTTCATTCAGTAATTCAACATTTTCAAATTGATTAGCATAGCAGTCTTAAAACATTTTAGAAAATACCTTCTCTGATGGTTTTCTCTTTTATCATTTTTTGTATTTGTTATTTATATTCTATGTTTTCTAGCTATATCTGATTCTGTATTTATTGAATTCCCCCCTCACCTTTTCTTTAGGTCACTTTGTTGTTTCCTATCTTCTTGATTGGCATGTATACATTACTTATTTTCATTTTCTCCTTATTAACATAAGCATTTAAATCCTTACTTTTTGTGTGACTAATGCTGACTTCCATAGATTTTAATATGTAATATAGTTGACCCTTCAACAACACAGGTTTGAACTGTGTGGGTCCACTTAAACGTGAATTTTTTGATAAAGGTAGTACAGTACTGTAAATTTTTTTTTTTTTTTTAAGATTATATTCACTTGACAGAGAGAGAGAGAGCAGAAGCAAGGGAAGCGGCAGGCAAAGGGAGAGGAAGAAGCAGGAAGCCCGATGCGGGGCTCAATCCCAGGACCCTGGGATCATGACCTGAGCCTAAGGTAGATGCTCAGCTGACTGAGCCCTCCAGGTGCCCCTCTTACGTTTTTCTTAACATTTTTTCTTTAGCTTACTTTATTGTATGAATACAGTACCTAATACATATAGCATATAAAATATGTATTAATCAACTGTTACTGGAAAAGCTTCCAGGCTGTAGTAGGCTATTAATAGTTTGGGGTGAGTCAGAAGTTATATGATGATTTTTGATTGTGCAGGGCAGTGGCACCCTAATCCCAGTTTCAAGGGTCAACTGTATTTTCAATGGGATCATTCTCAGAAATTTTTGTAATTTCAATTACATTTCCACATTTGGTAGAAAGTTTTTTCATTTCTAGGTAGAAGTGCTTTTTAATTTACTAATACTGGCATTCATTTACAATTTTATTATTCTAATCAAATAATGATTGCATTATTATACCTTTGTTACTTATAATTCAGTCACAGGAATTATTTTTGCCCTGTATCATGGAATGTTTAGCATTCATTTTGGATTTTCCTCAGGTTATCCCTTCATCTAATTGCCAGTCTCCAGCCAGTGTTCAACAGATTGTTTTTTACAAAGTTCCTTCCATTCTTGCCCACCTATACCACCTTTTCCACATCATTCTGTTAGCTTTTTCCCCTTTCAGAATTGCATAAGCTTTATAGTATGATTTATACGTACTATAATATCAAAAATATTCTGAAACTGCCTTGCAGAGTATAACAATCATTGAGTACAGGAAAATGGAAGAGCATGAAGGAAACATTTAAATATAGACTAGGATTTCAGTAGGATAGATGTGTGATAGTGAAAAAGCTAATGAAGAACAGTAAGTAAAATTCCTCATCTTTATTGACAGGTGGGGTAAAGAAAATCATGGTTATGCACAGCAGGGAATTAACAGCAGTGATGGAGACAGTATGTGTAAGTGGAGAGTCAATTAGAAAAAATTATTCATAAACACTACTTGTGTGTGTGTATAAATCACTGCAGTATAGTGTGAAGGTTGGAAGGAATGGAGGCATACTTAAACTGTTTCATCATTCTTACATGTATATAACTGTTTTGGTGATCAATTGTGTTACCCAGTGACTGATCTTTATAATATTTCCTTTTTGTCTTAATTAGATTCTTTTCATCCAGTGATTTAATTTCCCTGTAATTATCAACTTAAATGTCCTTGGGGCTTGTTATTCAGTGGCATATAATGATTATATTTCTCCTTTTGGAATTTAAGGAGTAAGGCTAAACAGCGTAACAACTGAAAATTACTGAATACACAACTGAAAAAAATAATGTGAGGCAACTAGAGCAACTAGATATTGGAACAGAAACATAAATATGAACTTACAATCAGTACCTCATTTCTGAGGATAGTAACTTTTAGATCTGGACGGTAAAATGTGGGTAGTATATAAGTGGTATATAAAGAACCCATTTCTAAGCAATGAAACATCCTGTGGGTGGAAATTATGTTTGTTGTAAGAGGTCAAAAAAAGATTAGGTGAAAAGGGATAATGGATTAAGATGAGGTCTTACAAGTACCTTGTTATCCACAGTAAAGTATTTGGATTCTCTTGTTAAAAAAACAAACCAGGGCGCCTGGGTGGCTCAGTCGGTTAAGTGTATGCCTTTGGCTCAGGTCATGATCTCAAGGTCCTGGGATCGAGTCCCATGTCGGGCTCCCTGCTCAGTGGGGAGTCTGCTTCTCCCTCTCCCTCTGCTGCTCCCCCTGCTCATGCTCTCTCTCACTTGCTCTCTGTCTCAAATAATAAAAATAGAATTAAAAATCTTAAAAAAAGAAAAAAGAAAAAAATCAACCTCAGGTGCTTGGGTGGCTCAGTCAGGTAAGTGTCCGACTCTTGATCTCAGTTCAGGTCTTGATCATAGGGTTGTGAGTTCAAGCCCTGCATTGGGCTCCCCAACAAAAAACAAAACCAAAATTGTTAGTATGTATAGATTATCAAATTATGATCTGCATTAGCTCTATCTATACATGATACTGATAACTAGTTCTACATCTGTACATGTTGGTCAGTTTACCTGGATTGGTTCCCAAACATTAGTACTGTCAACAAGTTCACAAAGTGATGATCAACACCTAAATGTCAGACCCACTGACTTTATCTGTTTCCCTTATCACAAATATCACAATCTTACATTATGCTTTCATCATTCTCTGATCTTTCTTAAGACTTCATTGAGGTATTTTAATTATTCACTTGTATTGTTTGTAGTTGCAGTTTTTCTCCTCTGCATTTTATGAATGTTTCATTTTTATGGCACATGAAAACAAAAATTGTGTTTCTTTTCCTCCTCTCTTTCAGATTTGGAGTCCAAGTATGACACAAAGACTAGAAAGGACATCAGTGGTTCTCAGTGGAAAGTCACAGAAGGTAAATTCATTGGTCTTGAGAGCTCCATTTTCAGAAATGACTGGCAGAGCAAAAGCAAGACTGAAGTACAAAGACCTGAACTGGGATATTTCAGCCAAATGAAAATCAACTCTGAAAAAGTGCCCAATTACAAACATCATAAGTCTCTTATATCACATCAGAGAATTCATGATAGCAAGAAGCCCCATGCATATAAGGAATATGGGAAGGTCCTTAGCTGTGACTTAAATTTTGATGAATATGAGAGAATACATACTGGTGAGAAAACATATCAATATAATGCATATTGGAAAACCTTTGGAGATGACCCACATACCCTACAACTGAATATACATAGTGGTGTGAAACCTTGTAAATATATGGAATATGAGAATGCATTTAGTTTTTATGAAGACCTTAGTATACAGAAAATGCATGATAATCAGAAGTGCTATAAATGTAAGGAATATGAAAGGACCATTAGAAGAGTTGAAGAAATAACTCCACTTCAAATAATTGGTGATGGTGAGAAACCCTATGAATGCACTTTCTGTGGAAAATCCTTTAGAGTGCATGCACAACTTACTCGACACCAGAAAATCCATACTGATGAGAAACCTTACAAATGTATGGAATGTGGCAAGGACTTTAGATTCCATTCACAGCTAACTGAACATCAGAGAATTCATACTGGTGAAAAACCATACAAATGTATACAATGTGAGAAAGTCTTTAGAATTAGTTCACAGCTTATTGAACATCAGAGAATTCATACAGGTGAGAAACCTTATGCATGTAAAGAATGTGGGAAGACCTTTGGAGTCTGTAGAGAACTTGCTCGACATCAGAGAATTCATACTGGAAAGAAACCCTATGAATGCAAGGCATGTGGAAAGGTCTTTAGAAATAGTTCATCCCTGACTAGACATCAGAGAATTCATACTGGTGAGAAACCCTATAAATGCAAGGAATGTGGGAAAGCTTTTGGAGTAGGTAGTGAACTTACTCGACATCAGAGAATTCACAGTGGTCAGAAACCTTATGAATGTAAAGAGTGTGGAAAGTTCTTTAGACTTACATCAGCACTTATTCAACATCAGAGGATTCACAGTGGTGAAAAACCTTATGAATGTAAAGTATGTGGGAAGGCTTTCAGACATAGTTCAGCCCTTACTGAACATCAGAGAATTCATACTGGAGAGAAACCTTATGAATGCAAGGCATGTGGGAAGGCCTTTAGACATAGTTCATCCTTTACAAAACATCAGAGAATTCATACTGGTAAGAAACCCTATGAATGTAAGGAATGTCTGAGTGCCTTTAGTGTGGGTAAGCACCTTACTTGATATCAAAAAAGTTGTACTTGTGTTTTGTCTTGAATGAAAGACATGTACAAAAGCCTTTTGCATCTGAGTTTCACTGGGAAAGTCCATGCATTATAATATGAAGTAATCAAGGGGCCAATGTTCCTCTTACTGTTTCCAGACTTCCTGGCCCCTCTATTTAGAAGTAGAATTGCCCAGTGATAGGTGATGTATACTTTGTTTTGTTCGATATTGCCAAATATTTGTTTTTATTTCTCCTTTTCATATCAGTTAACATTGTGAATATCTATTTAGATAAGATGGTCCCTATTCATTTCTGATATGTATGGAAAATGTGTTTCACTAATTAGTCAATTTCACATGAATTTCTTTTCCAGGCATGTTTTGTTTACAGTTACTTCTGATGTTTGTGTTTTTGTTCTTGTCTTTGAATTGTTTTTGGCTTATTAATTTGTGATATTATTCAAATAAATCTTTTGCATTCTAATTTTTTGTTACATAAGATGTACTTTTCTTCCTCCAGAGAGTTAAAACTTCCAATGACTTACTATGTTGTTTTAAAGTCTTATGACCCTGCAAGGTATTTGTGTAGATTTGTTTTTGTTTAATTTTCTCTTGTTTTTATTTTAATGTTAGATAAGTAATTTCCTTCCCATTTTCATCAAGTGATTGATTTCTTTTAAAATTTCTGTTTTGACATGACAGACTTGCCTAAATACCTACCACAACACAATTCCTTTAAAGAGCCTTTTGAGGGGCACCTGGGTGGCTCAGTCCTTAAGTGGCTGCCTTCGGCTCAGGTCATGATCCCAGGGCCCAGGGATCGAGCCCCGCATGGGGCTCCCTGCTCCATGGGAAGCCTGCTTCTCCCTCTCCCACTCCCCCTGCTTGTGTTCCTTCTCTCACCGTCTCTCTCTGTCAAAAAAAAAAAAAAAAAAAAAAGTCTTTTGACCTCTAGGCAGTACCAATGAGGATCCAAAGGAAAGGGGCACTTTTAAATATTTTGTAAAATTTACTAAGCCATTCTTGTCTGTCTTTTAGACTTATTAAAGGAGGGGAAAATCTACAACTATTACAATGATTATAAACTTAGTAAACTTATATTTGGAGGGTCTACAACTCTATTATTACCATGGCTTCAATTGGGCTTTGTATATTTATACTTTTTATTCCCTGTTAGTGTTGCCTTGCTGGGTTGTGGCAGCTTAACAATCAATAGAACTTTGATTTTAGAAAGGAAAGGAAAAGCAAAAGAAGAAAGAAAATTAGTGAACAGAGATAAAGTTGCAATTCTTAACTGTCCATTATCTCTTTCTTTAGTTAGGAGAGTTGACCTGGTTATGCAATTAATGTTAATTATGAGCCACTGGTTATCAGATGTTTATAAGAAAATTTACCTATTGTTTAGATACATTTATGTCACCATCATTTATTAGATTTTAGTTTTTCAAATTGGTCTTCCCCAGAATTTTTGCATGACCCAGCAATAGTAATTAAGCCATTTTCTTATTGTATATATTGAGCTGTTTTCTTTAAATATTACTAATTAGTATTTTATTTAAATTAGCAGTTTTTAAAAATATATACTTAGAGGTGCCTGGGTGGTTTAGTTGGTTAAGCATCTGTCTTTGGCTTGGATCATGATCTCAGGGTCCTGGGATCGAGCTCCATATTGGGCTCCCTGCTCAGCAGGGAGTCTGCTTCTCCCTCTCTCCGGGCTCCCTGCTCAGCAGGGAGTCTGCTTCTCCCTTTCTCCGGTGTTTTCTCTCTTGCTCACTCACTCTCTCTCAAGTAAATAAAATCTTTTTTTTTTTTAAGATTTTTTAATTTATTTTTTAACAGAGAGAGAGACAGCGAGAGAGGGAACACAAGCAGGGAGCGTGGGAGAGGGAGAAGCAGGCTTCCCGCTGAGCGGGGAGCCCGACATGGGACTCGATCCCAGGACCCTGGGATCATGACCTGAGCCGAAGGCAGACGCTTAACGACTGAGCCACCCAGGTGCCCTCAAGTAAATAAAATCTTAAAAAAAAAAAAATTTATATTTTTTTCCTATTTTTTATTTTTGCTGGCTTGAACAAATTAAAACAATGAGTTATCTAGACCTTACATATACACTTAAAAAGAATGACAGAAACAAAATAACCATGTATCTTGGCATTTACTTTTTGAAATGATTAATAAAAATTTAATAAATACAAGATATCCTTATTATGCCTCCCTTATTTGTAATTACAACTATATTTTGGTGACATTACATCAACATTTTTCTTTGAACTATGTTAAGAACTCCTGAAATTTCACAGACCGCTGGTACAATAAACCATAATGTAATTATTGCTATTAACTTTTTTTTTTGCTACTTCTCTGGTGCTCAGATTGTTAAAACTTTATTCCTTTCCATTTTCATTTGATACTTTATCCTTTCCACATTTTCCCTAGTCTACATAAAAGTTTTTGGGTTTTTCCCCCCAAATACAAAAGAATGTTCCAGACCTATCCTATTTATTGCTGCAATGAACCATGAAATTAGCTTCCAATAATGGAATCCTTTTTCAGTTTAGTGGTGAAGAATTCTAATAAATGTAAAAGGGATGAGGGAGATAGGAAAACACTGTAATAACAGTAATAATTATATACAAAATTCATTGATGGATACTAAAATACGAAGGTGAAAGTTTAAAGAGAAACAGGCCATTAGAATTATATCAAAGTAGCTATCCCAAATACATAATTACAAGGAGAAAACATCCATATACCACCTTTTTGAAATGATCACCAGTAGTAAGACACTGGCACATAAACTACCCAGAGTGAGGCACTAAGAAGGGTATACCACACGAATAGTATTCTGACTTAAGAAAAAAAAAAAAAGAAAGAAAAGCATAACCATAATGTAATCATGAGGAAACTGCCGACAAACTGAAAATGAAGAACTTTCTATATAATAACTTACCCAGTATTCCAGAAATCCATGACCTTTCAAGGTCATGAGTGGCAAGGGTAGAATGAAAAGCTCCCAGAAGATTGGAGGAGACTGAGGCCATTTGACAACTAAATACAATGCAGGAATTTGGATTTGATTTTCGGAACATTAGTGGAGACTTGGTGAAATCCAAATAAAGCTGGTACTTTAGGGGCGCCTGGGTGGCTCAGGCAGCTAAGCACCCAACTCTTGATTTTGGCTCAGGTCATGATCTCAGGGTCATGGGGTTGAGCCTCACATCTGGCAGCACAGAGCCTGCTTGTCCCTCTCCCTCTGTTCTTCCCACCACTATCTCTAAAATAAATAAATCTTTTTTTTAAAGAATTTTTTTTTTTTTTGACAGAGGGAGAGTGTACAAGCAGGGGAAGCAGCAGGCAGAGGGAGAGGAAGAAGCAGGCTTCCCGCTGAGCAGGGAGCCCGATGTGGGTGGGGCTCGATTCCAGGACCCTGGGATCATGACCTGAGCCGAAAGGCAGACGCTTAACCGTCTGAGCCACCCAGGTGCCCTACAATAAATAAAATCTTTAAAAAAAAAAAACAAAAAACCAGTACTTAATTGATAGTACTATGCCAATGTTAATGTCCTGGTTTTGATTACTGTACTATGATAATGTAATATGTTAATATTATGCAAACTAGGAGAAGAATGTATGGAAATTCTGTATTCTTACGATTCTTCTCTAAGTCTAGAACTTTAAAAAATATATATTGTTTGCAGCCAAAATGGAAAATAGGAGTTACCTTCCTGCCTAAAGTAACAAAACACTAGATAAAATACAAGCAGCAATTTTCAGATATTGAACATTAGACAACAGAAACACCTAACCAAGCGTAAACAAATAGGATATCCATACTTTTGACTCCACTTACTTCCCAGTAGGCATTTCCACATCTCAGCACAGGGAGGAGGAAGACAGGGGGAGCATCGTGATGCAAAGATGGAGATAAGAGTCCAGGGAGGCAGAGAAAGCTAGTCTAGGGCAGACTACTAGAGCAAGTCTTGATCAGTGCATGGAGGTAACTACCTGAAGCCAGCAAAAGAAATGCTTAGAAAAAGCACAGGTAACCCTTGGGAGCTGACACAGCCAGAAATAGTTTGTGTCCCCATCATCCAGAGAGGTAAACTTCATAATAGACTGGTTAGATTACTTGAAAAGTTAGTGCCTCAATAGAGAAGCAAGTTAGTACTAAAGGCTTTCTGGTCCCACCTGATAAAGTTTAAAGGAAATCTTAATAGGAAAAAACTGTTACTAGGTAACATAGATATATTCCAGAATAAAGCTTGAGTATATTTCTATAATTTTATTTTAAGATTTTATTTATTTATTTGACAGAGAGAGACAGCAAGAGAGGGAACACAAGCAGGGGGAGTGGGAGAGGGAGAAGCAGGCTTCCCACTGAGCAGGGAGCCCGATGCGGAGCTCGATCCCCGGACCCTGGGATCATGACCTGAGCCAAAGGCAGACACTTAATGACTGAACCACCCAGGCCCCCCTTGAGTATATTTCTAGAAATACAAAAATACCAAGCACATAGAAGGCAAATTTTATGATGTGTGGCTGGTAGAAAAAACAAAAACAGGAGTGTAAAAATGCAGGAATACATGAGTATCATGAGAAAAATCTATAGGAACACACCCAGAAATGACAAAGATAGATTTTATATTTGATTTGCTAGCTTTTATATTTGGCAGTAGATACTGGCAGTACAACCATCTAAACTATTTTCTACATGGCCAACAAGGAAGAAGAGATTGATCATGGTAAGGTGTTGAAAATATTAAAAAGACCTAAACAAAATTCTAGAGATTAAAAAATGTCTAAGATTAAAAATACAGTCAATGAGATTAATAGAGTAGACACTATGAAAGAAAACATTAAGCTTGAGAATACAGCAACAAAAACTACAAGCTGAACCAGAAAATCAGACTAATAAAAGTAAATTAGGTAACAGAAAACTATGGGATAATTGCAATCAACTTAATTATTGTAATTGGGAATCCCTGGAAGAGAGCAAAAAGAATGAGCAGGGACCCAAAAAAAAAAAAAAAATTTACAGAAATAAGTTTTCCAAATTTGGTGAAAACTGTAAACCTACATACCCAGGGAGTTC